TGAGAGGATTTTTGGGGTCAGCAGGAGACAAGGAAGCCAGCTCTCACTCACAGGTTGGGCTGGGTGATGATCCTGGAGGTCTTTTCCCACCCCAGTGGTTCTGGGGCTCTGTGAGGTTCTGGTGAACACACGATGCTGGTGGAGATACAGAGGGGAAGGACTTCCTCAAACCCCCCAGCCTGGCCCTGGACCCATACTGAGCTTTGTTTCCCTCCTCTCCTCCTCGCCCTGGTGCTGTCAGAGGGCAGGATTTAAGCTCTGACTAACTGAACTTGCCCCACCTCAGCCCAAGGCAAGGCTGGTTAAGCCTGGTCTGCACTCCCAGGCCGATCCCACCAAGGCCAGCTCCGAACCCCCTGCAGGGACCTTGGGACACCAACTGCAGGTAGGTCTGAAACAAGAGCTGATTTTATTGGAAATGGAGGAGAATTGGTGATTTTTTGGGTAAAACTGGGCAGTGGAGCATCTGCAGCAAGTGTTTCTCCTCCAGCCTGGAGGACAAAGGGGGTGTCAGAGGTGCTGGACAGTGCTCAGCTGGGGCAGGGATGGGCAGAGATGCTGCCCAGGGTGGATCCAAACCCAGCTCCAGGCCAGGAAAATCTGTGGCCCCAGTTTTCTCCTTTCCAAGGCATTTTCAGCCCACGATCCTAAAGGAGCAAAGATTTCTAACCCACATTATTCTGCCTCTGCTTTTGGGCTTCCTTTGTGAAAAATAACACCCAGAAAAATGCCTGGATTGCTTCAGAGTGCTCCTGCTTCCTGTGGGTCTGATCCCAGCAAGACTTGAGGAACCATCAGCACGTCTGGGGCTGTGCCAGGAGTGCCCTTGGTGGCCCTGGCTGCCCAGTTTGACACTGGTTTCTGACCAGTTTTCCCTCACTCAAGATGTTGGGAGAGCTGGATTCAACCAGCAGTGACTGGTTGTAGGAGCTGGTTGAGGTTTCCCAGAGGAAACACAGCCCAGGTTGTGCCTTTTCTTTGGGAGCAGGATGGTTGGAGTTGGATCTTGGGATCAGCCAGGACAAGCTTCTCCTAAAACAGGTTTCCAGGACTGTGTCCAGGCAGGTTTTGGGTATCTCCACAACCCCTTTGGGCAGCTTGTCCCCGTGCTCTGTCACCCTCAGCAGGGGTGCCAGAGGCTCCATCACACCCTCGAGGTGTTTTGCCTCCTGGTTCTCATCCTGGGAGGCAGCTCAGGAACATTTTTCCCTGCTTGGGTTGGTCTGGCTTGTTCCCAGTTGGATGTGATGGTGGGAGCTCTGGATCCCATGTGCTCCAGGCATCTCAGATCCTGAGTATCCCAAATCCCCCTGGGTCCCCCCACACCCCTTTGGCTTTTTCTCTTGTGAACTGTGTGTTAAAGCAGAAGGAGGTGAGAGAGAACACTCACTCCAGGGGGAGGAAAACCCCTCCTGGGCTGACTTCTCTGTGTCTTCTGATCCTGAGCTGTAGGATTTCAGTTCCTTCTGCTTGGCTGGGACCAGAGAAGAAAGAGAAACTCTGTGTGCCAACCAAGGAATGAACATGGAACCATGGAATGGGAAGGGAGGGACCTTAAAGCCCATCCAGTGCCACCCCCTGCCACGGGCAGGGACACCTTCCACCAGCCCAGGTTGCTCCAGGCCCTGTCCAGCCTGGCCTTCACGGCAGGGGATGGAGCTGGAGGATCTTTAAGGTCCCTTCCAACCCAAAGCATTCCCTGATTCTGTGATTCCATGACCTGGCTCCTCTGCTGCTGCTCTGGGAGCACCCACAAAAGTTCTGGCTCTGCCTTGAGGCCATACTTGAGGTCTGACCTTGCTCACACCAAACTTGGGATGAATTCACTCCCACTGACGTGGTTAAATCCCTGCAAACCGAGGGAAGGAGGGATGAGATGCTGGGGATGGTGCAAATCCACGTTCTCCAGTGAGGGCTGCAGGGGCACAGTTGCAAATCCAGGGCACTCCTGACCCTCTCACCCCACGGGGGATCCCTGCACCATGAGCACAGAAGCTCCCAGAGGTTCCTGCAGGGTGGAATCTGCTCCTCCTGCTGCTCCCCTCTGGTCTCTGCTCCAGGGGGAAAACCAGCGCAGCAGGAAGATCCACGTGGCTGCTTCTGGGAAATAAAAACAAAACCTTATCTGGGCTCACCCCATAAACCAGCAACTTCTAAAGGAGAGGAAAAGAGATTAAAAAACCCACTCAGGGCTGGTGCTTCCGTGCTGGGCAGCCCAGGAAGCTGTGGCTGTGTGGGCAGCGCACGGGCACAGAGCTGGCACTGCCTCAGTTCCATGACACAAAGGTGGTTTTAATTTCTGCTTCTCAGCATACAAAGTTCCCCTTCCCCCTGCTCTGGCTCTGCTCCCAGCTGGGTGTGATTTTGGGGTCACTGCTTGTCAATGGAGGTTCCTCCTCTCCCGTCCTTACCCAGCAATTTTCATTCTTTCCTTTCTTTCTTCCTTTCTTCCTTTCTCTCTCTCTTTCTCTCTTTTCTTCCTTCTTTCCTTCTTTTCTTCTTTCATTCTTTTCTTCCTTCTTTCTTTCTTTCTCTCATTCTTTCTTTCTCTCTCTCTTTCTCTCCTTCCTTCCTTCTTCCCTCCCTCCCCTCCCTCCCTCCCCTCCCTCCCTCCTTTCTTCCTTCCCTCCTTTTTCTTTCTTTCTTCCTTTCCTTCTCTTTTCTTTCTTTCTTT